GTCATTGTTGTTTGGCAGGTCCGGGCTGGGGATTCGAACCCGCCACCTTAGGTGTACGTGGCTGGCGCCTTAGCCAGTTGAGCTATAGGCGCCGAGCCCAGAATTGTTCCTTTTGATGACATCCCTCAGCTCTAAAGAGCCCTCAGCCAACACATAAGGTCTTTCACAAGCCAACTCCAGCCTGCCTTCTTAGCCTTGAAGCCCACTGTGCCCCACCATGAGCTCCTACCGCCGGCACACTGGAGTCCTCTGAGCCCCAACCACTCCATCGGCCTTAATGACACTGCATGGCCAATCTGATTGCTCAACACTGAGCAAATACTATGCGCTGGACTTTGCATACATGATCTCTAGGCCTTGCCACAAACCTGCAGATAGGTCCTATTGTCCCCACTTTTCAGATGGGGCCCGAGAGCACTGTGTTTTATCTTTTTGCCTTTGCAGATTATCCCCTCAGCCATGAATGTGCTCCCTGTTCCCTGAGTCTTATACTATGAGGTAGGCCCAGGTCAATGTCCACATCAAAGTCTTCTCCAGCCAGCCTGCTTGCTCTGTTCCTTCCAGGCCCTGCAACCACTACTTGCTGCTACTCCTGGCCAGGCCACACTGGGAGTCGCATGATATAGCTTGCATATAAGGGGGGGCTGGGCACCTTTGAAATCTTCCACAGAGCCTGGCACCTGGCTTGACTCATTGGTGGAAGTTCTCTCACACATATGGAGCCTGGCATTCTTTTTAATAGCAAAAAGCTTGCTATTAAAAATCACCTTGTCATAGTACTCCTTCTGCAAAGAAATGTATGCAGCTCCAGGTGTTCTAGGGAGCCATTTTCAAGCTCCAGAAAAACCTGCTGGGGAAATCAACTCAGTTCTTCTCAGAAGCTCTTAGAATAAATGAAGCAAAGTTTGGGACACGTCTGCCTTTCTTGAGGCCTGGCACACAAGTATATTACATTCTTCTTTCTGAGTCTAATTCTAAAAGCAAAGTCTTTCTCCTGCTTGATTCCAAATAGTAAAAAGCTATCAGCCTTTTCCTCCTAGGAAACCTACTTACCATAGCAGAAAAGACATGGGTTTCGGATTCATATGAAGGGGCTCAAATCCTAACTCGCCAGTTGTGGTTTTTGAGCAAGTAAGATTATTAACATCTCTGGGCCCTAATTTCCTGCTCTGCAAAATTAAATTTTGCAGTGATGTGAGATGGGCTGCAATCATGTATGAAAAAAGACCTAACACGCTGAAAGCTGACAAGAAAAATGAGCCGTTTACATTTATCATTATGATGGATGTTGTTTCCCCAGAACCTACCTGCCTATTCCCATCCCTTGGGCCAGCCTGCAGGGTCCAGGCAGAGATGACATTGAAGGCCTTAACCACTGTGCAGGTGGGGAAGAGGGAGGCCAGGTACTCAGCATTGGACTCACGATGCTGAAGGTGCTCTTCCTCTGTGGGGTTGCTGACATCCACCAGGATCTTGCCGGCAAGCTGGTCGCTGAGACTGAGTAGTGAAGAGTAGTGCTCCCGGAACATAGCCACAAAGATGACCTCTGAGGAGCTCACGGCCTCTGCCTGGAGAGTCACTTGGGCTGCTGAGGGGAACAGCCCAGCTATGCGTTTGGGGTTGCGGCTCCCCACCACGACGTTGAAGCCAGAGCCCACCAGGCGTGTGGCCAGGGAACGAGCAAAGTCCCCGCTACCCAGGATGCCCACTTTGGGGGCCTCCCTGGGGGGTTCAGCAAGGCTGCTGTTGCTGTCCACCAGGCGGTGGCTGATCAGTGGTTTGCCCATCTCTCCTGACATTTTCGTGGCTGCAAGAAGATAGGAATCTGGTCATCAGCGGGCCACCCTCCTGCACCACCCCTCTCTTGTCCATCAGAACTGCACTACAGGAACCTGGTCATCAGCCGGCCACCCTCCTGCCATCACCTTCCTCTTGTCCATCAGAACTGCATCACAGACATTCACCCAGCAGGTGCTCACTGAGTGCCAGCACATATCAGACTATGAGACAGGCTGTGCAAGACCCAGGCCCTGCTGGGGAGGGCACAGACTCAGGAAGAGGAGAGACAAGTGATTCTGCCCTCTCCCCTTTGTCTTTCCTGCTTAATTATTTCCTTAGGACGAACTGGCATAGTGCTAGACAAGAAGGCCCTGGAATTTCCAGAACCAAGGCTATGTAGTGCCATATTTCTTTTCAAAAGAATTATGTGCTGTGCAGTGTCAATAGGCAGGAGTGACCATTTAATCTCAACATCACCATCACTGTGTGTTATCTTTGATGATTAGGAATGAACATGTTCCTATGCTTGCTTGCATTTTGAATTTTAGAATAGTTCTCATGCTCTCCCTAAAGGACATGATGAACGAATAGCTGGAGGGCAGGGACCTCATTTCATCTGACTTTGGACCTCACTATTTGTCTTGAGGCCTGGCACAAAAGCAATACTCAATGTTTGTGAATGAGTGTATGTCTGAACCCTGAGACCCTCCTCTCCAAGGGTAGGACATGACAATAAATGGGCCCCTGAGCTAGGGTGGGTGCCTTGAGATCACCTTTGTGGAGCCTGAGATATGAGTGGACATGGAGGAAACCCTAGACTTGGGCCAGGGGTCTACAGGAAACTTGAGTGGGAAAAATGACATTTTTATTGTCACCAACTCCTAAACAATGAAAGTTAACATTTCCTTTGAGTGTGAGGGCAAGCAATGGAGTTTCTTTAATCAATACTGACCAACGTCATATCACAAATTTAATTGCAAACAAGTTCTCTTGATACTGTCTAAACACATTACTAATTTGAAATTATGGTAGATATTAGACCTGCTACTAGATCTTGTTATTTAGTGAGCTAATTGCTCGGCGCCAGTAGCTCAGCAGCTTGGATGCTGTCTACATATGCTGGGGCTGGCGGGTTTGAACCTGTCCTAGGCCTGCCAAACAATGACAGCTACAACAACAAAAAAATAGCCGGGGGTGGCACCTATAGCTCAGTGGGTAGGGTGCAGGCCACATACACCAGGGCTGGCAGGTTCGAACCTGGCCTGGGCCAGCTAAAACAACGACAACTGCAACAACAACAACAACAAAAAATAGTCAGGTGTTGTGGCAAGTGCCTGTAGTCCCAGTTACTGGGAGGCTAAGGCAAGAGAATCACTTAAGCCCAAGAGTTTAGGTTGCTGTGAGTTGTGATGCCACAGCACTGTACCCAGGACGACATAAAAAGTAAGACTCTGTCTC